ACTAATAGATTCAAATTAAGATCCATCATTTATTGAATTATTAAATAAGACATTGTAATTATCATAGTCTTTAACATGATGTAATAGGAATGAAGACCTTTAAGAGTAACATGTTTTTTTTTGAATAGATGACAAGATACAATGCATTTGGTATCACGACCTCAAAAAGAAAGTTTTAATATTTGGTGATTTTATTAGAGGTAGAAAAATCTCTTGATGGTATTATAAATGTTTTGTTTGAAAGAAGTTATGAAGGTTTCAACAATGATCAAATAACATGGTAGTCTTTTTGCCCTAGTATAAGACATTACCAATAGTTGAGAGGACCTATCAACTACCTTCAAAGGAAACAAAGATTAGAATACATAGCAAATATAATTTGACTCATCTTAAACTTCTTCAATATGTAATTATTGCTCCTTGTAGAATTTGTCTCTGAAAAAAGAGTTAATTTCAGAGATATATATTTACTATAATTATTACTTAAATGATATGAATAGATAAAATTAGATAAAAGTAGATTAATTTCATAATATCTTCTAAATAGACTTTTTAAAAGTTTTATAGATATTGCTTTAAATTACATGTATTTATAGTTGATTGATAAGTTAAAACTTAGTCAATAAGTTTATCACGTACCACACATGTTGATAGCTTGTAGAACCAGCGAATTATATGGCGCTCACATAGAAAACTTACCTTGCAAGTTATGATACATGTTGTACAAAGTCAATATATTTTGGAAGTCTTATAGAATATTGCCACATAGCTCTTAGATAGATAATATATATAGAGACAAGAGTGAAGCCTTCTTCATTCTTGTCAATTCATTTTTTGTTTTTAGTTTAATTTTAAGAATCTATAATTTTCTTGTCTTTTAACAATATCCATTCTAGTTTTTTTTAATATACATACCTCCTTATTTTTATTTTTTCAAACTTCTTTGAAAAAGTCTCACTTGTTTATTTGCTTTCATTGAGTTCTTGTTCTTAATACCATACCAAGTTTGTTGTAATATCTTTTACTTTTTAAAGAATTTTCTTTTTCTTTTTTCATCACTAATATAAAAAGTCACTTCTTTGCTATTGAATTCTTTGGATCATAAGGTTGATAGATTTTCATTTTTTTTTCCACCCATTTAAGAACTATTTTTCTTATCACTTCATAGTTGTCTTCATTGCATCTTTTTTTTATTTGAAGATGATATAATAGGTTTGATGCTTCTTTTGGATCTAAAATAAAATAAATTTTTTATTTTTCATATAATAAATCTTTTTTTCTTAAAATATCTTCATATCTCTTAGAATTTTTTTAAATAAATTTGATATAATTAAGTTTATTTAATATCTAAGCATAATTATTAATTGTACTTTGATGAATAAGTAAAAAAATAAAAATTCTTTAATCTAAAATTATTACCACTATAGCTAGAATTGGCATAAATTTCAACATCTTATCCTTCATCCTCTAGATATATAATTTTTATAAAAAGCTTACATCCTATATATCTTTTAGATAATTATTTTCTAAATTTAGTAATATTATTGATTTAATCAATATCCTTGCCATAAAAATTTTGTCTTTGGTAGCACAAAAAGATTGCCATTTTTGAGATATAAGGTGTCTTTTTTTTAATTCATACTTAATCCAAGTCTTAATGTCTTTGGTGACGTAAGTCTTTGGAATTCCATATTTATTCCCTCCTACCATCTATTTCAAATCATGTAATCCTTAAAGAGTTTTTGCATCTATAAGATGGGATCCTCTTTTGCAATATCCATTTCAAATTATTGATATCTATTTTTCAATGTATGAAATAATAAAGTCCAAATATTTTTAATTAAATAATTAATTTTCACCATTATGCAACTTAAGTATCTCAAAACCATTTCTAAAAAGTTCTCATTTTTTTCAAAATGATTATATGAAATACTTCAATTGAAGTTTTTTCTTGATGAACAAAATTAACATCTAATTCAATAGTAGTCTCAATTATTCAATTAAGCATTCTTCTAATTTATATTTAAAGAAATAATATCTATTAGGCATAAATACTAGAGGATCTAATTTTGGATCTTGAACCACAACCATTTCATATTCATCTTCTTATCCTTTATTATCTAAAAGTCATGGGAAGTTGAAGTCAATTTCATCATTTGAAGAAATATTGTCAAAGTTAAGGACCTCAAAGACTTCATTAATGGTTTCTATCATGCCTCCATTTTCTAAGTTTTGAAATATAGTATCTACTTCACCTACAAAAACAACATACATAATGGTTAGTATTGCATAACGTTCTTATTTTTAAAATAATATTTAACTAATTGGCAGTAATCTCTACCATTAAATTTTTATATTAGTTATTGCCAATATTTTAAATTAAAATTATAAAATGGTGGATCCCATCACAAAGTTGCCCAAATAATGACCACTTTCTACTTATTTTTCATCCATTTTTTACTACCAATTTCTCCACAGTGGTAAAAAATGGTCACCATCTATACTTATTTATAATTTATTCTACTCAATTTTTACCATCTATTTCTCCTTGGTGTTGAAAAATGGTCTCCATTCATGTCCATTTGTATTACTTCTATAATTTTTACACAAAATCATGTCTTTGTGGTAACAATCACTATCCATTTTTTCTTGCTAAAAATTTGTCCTTTTTTTTTCCTTGTTTGTTTGTTTGTTTTTTTTGTTTGTGATTGCTACCATGATTCTCTATGAGGAGGCACTACTACCCTCATATTACTCTGTAGGATTTGGCAAGCCTCCCCGTCCTACTCCACTAAGTGACTTCCAAGATATAATTTATTTTGTAAAAGACCATCAAATCTTATTATCATGTTGTGCAGCAATGTTGACACAAGGAGAGGGTGGCTAGTACTCATGGCCACCCTATCTTATAGGGCTACATACTTGGCTAAATCTCTTGCATTTCTTATGCAATTCCGGTCTTCCATAGTTCCCAAGTGTTATCCATCCTTACCGCTTCTTCCACTCTCTCCTGCTCACCTCGCCACGTTCATTTTCTTGCTCCCTTTATACTCCCTTCTTCACTTCTCTGCAACTACTGCTAATTTTTCTTGAGATCTTATGCTCATCTTTTGTGTTCTCCATGAATTCTCAACAGACCCTATAACAACAAGGATTCAAATTGAAAATCTAAGAGCCTAGATGTCTTGAGCTAGTTAATTGAATAAGAATGTTTTTTTGACATGTAATAACGAGGTTGGTTCTCACTACATTTTCATTCATCCAACTTTACGCATAGATTCATTTGTCAAACTTTAGACATACATTCGTTCATTTCATTTTTAAGATCATTCTATTATTAGAAAATAAAATAAAATACATAGCACATATTTATTTAAAATCTATTTTAATTCATTACATATAAAAAAAGTTTTTTTTATCTTTTTTTATTTCAAAAAGATTATATATATATATATATATATATATATATCTAAATATGTGTAATTATTATATCTATATATCTATATATCTATATATATATATATATATATATATTGTACCATTGGATCTCCTTACTTTGCATCTAGATTTTTATATTAAGGAGAGTTATTAAGGCATTATATTAAATTTTTTATGTTAATCTAAATTATTATAAAATTAAAATCAATAACATTAATAAAATTCGTTTTTGTGATTCTTGACTACATTGTGATTTGTGGTTAAATTTAGTTGTTGTTTATTACAATGGTGCTAGAGGTGATTTTAAAAAAGATAAATTTATCTTATATACAAATAGACACTTTTATATACAAATATATATATATATATATATATATATACATACACACACACATATATATACTCAAAAATATTATTATTAATTAAAATATTTTTTTATATTTATATAAAATTATATTAGATATATCCATATATCCTTATAAATAAATAAGATATATCCCCGTCTCTCATTCCTACTTCCCCTCCCCTCATCTTAAGTTTTGAGTTTTTAATTATTCTTGATAACAACTTTATCCAAATTCTCAAATTTGAGGTATTTACTTATTAAAATTTTGCTTTTAGTTGGAATAAATATTTGTGGTGGTAAATATCACATCCAAATAATGTGAAGGGTTGAATCAAAATAATGTTTCAAAGGACTATGTTTCTATCAATAGATTTAAGTGAAGTTTGTAAATTGCATGATCTAACATTCAATCAAAAATATTGTTTTTTGAATTGCAAGATTTTCTTAAATACATGTAAACACAAAATTATTCTGTATGTAGACATACATACATTCTCTTTGTGGACAGTATTTGCATGTTAAATCCTAGCATTCATCTCCTTACCATTAAATTGTGAAATTAGAATAATAATAATAATAATAATAATAATAATTTTAACAATTAAATTGCACAATAACAAAAAAATATGGTTTTTCATGTAATCTTTTTACATTACTTTTGTCATGTTGTATTTTATTTAAAAAGTATCATATATTTGTACATGTATAATGGAAGAAAACATGTCATAATATTACATTTCATACATAAATTTATGCTTTTGCTTCTTCCTTCCTTTAACTATTATTATTTATTGTAACCCAAATTAGCATGATTATCTAAATTCGTGGTGTGTTTAATGGGTCAGGCTGGGAATGGGGTTCAAGACATGAGACGGATATAGAATAGATGATAAGGTGGCAAGGGGGGGTGTGGCTTTAACAACTCTTTAAATAAATCATATGAAAGATCATTATTGAAGTAAAAAAATTCTATATGATTGAGGTATAAATAGTTGGGATGTAAATAGGGGTTGGGCCCCACGATGGATGCACGACATTCATCCACTGAGGACCACATTGTGGCTCGTCAGCTCTGTTCCCACAAACCGGATATCAATTGAACTTCCAGGACGTCAACCTAGATACCCGGACTGTAGGGGAATAATCCGGATGTCAATAGGACGGGGGGCTTCGGCCGAAGGACCTAAGTAGTAGTCTACTTCGGAGCCTTCTCTTCTCTATTCTCTAGTGCTACTGTTGTTCGTATGGATCACATCTTGCATCTCTAGTTGTTGTGGGGATCCCTGGCCGAACTAACACTCTCATCAGCTGGGAAGATGTCGGAAGTACAAGGCAGCGTGTTCTTTTCGCGGTTCTGCAACAAGATTTTAGCCTGAAGTGCTGAATTTCGAGTTGTTGTAGAGTTCGCTTGCAACGCGAGCTCTATTTGAGACTTTATTGATGTGGTAGAGATGGTTGAGTGTTTTTTATTTTTGTTCTTATGAATTATGAAATACTAATGATTTGAGACTTTCATTCTGAATTCATCTAGAGAGAGCTGGGCCTAGACTTTGGATATCGAATTAAGATCAGATATGGGGACAGGAACTCGTTCGATGCGGAGAGAACATAGGGTTTTTGCGCTCTTCCTTCTAGTTGTTTTTTGTAATGTCTTGAGGTCGGACGCCGGATCAAGTTCTCGAGATCTCCTCGCAGAGAGCTTCATCCCTCAAACAAAAAATGTCCAGCAAAAGCGAAGTGGCCAGGCATATGCAACTCTTTTGTACGGTGATGAATTTCTTCTCGGGGTGAGGGTTTTAGGGAAGTCCATACGGAATACGGGAGTTGCAAAGGACATGGTGGCGCTTGTTTCTGATGGTGTCTCAGAAACTGGGATTCGACTTTTGAAAGCAGATGGATGGATTGTCCAGCGTATTAAGCTACTTGCTAACCCTAATTCTAAGCGTCCCACCCGGTTCTGGGGTGTTTACACGAAGCTTAAGATTTTCAACATGACCGAATACAGCAAGGTTGTGTATCTAGATGCTGATACCATCGTCACTCGTAGCATCGAGGATCTTTTCGAATGCCAGGGCTTCTGTGCAAACTTGAAGCACTCTGAGCGTTTAAATTCGGGCGTGATGGTGGTGGAGCCTTCAAGTAGTCTCTTTGAAGACATGATATCAAAGGTGCAGACGACGTACTCCTACACGGGCGGGGATCAAGGATTTCTAAATTCGTATTATGTAGGCTTTGCTGATGCCGAACTTTTCAATCCACAATTGCCACCGGAAATTCGGAAAGCTCGTCCAAAGAAAATGGAGCGGCTTACCACACTCTACAATGCCGATGTTGGCCTGTTTGCATTGGCGAACAAGTGGATGGTTGATGCTAGTGAGCTCCGCGTGATACATTACACACTCGGACCATTGAAGCCTTGGGATTGGTATGCAGAATGGCTTCTGGAGCCTGTGAAGATGTGGCAAGACATCAGGATTACATTGGAGGAGGTTTTACCTGGAACAGGACAAGGCCGTGATCCACACATTAGTCTGATTACATGGACTCTTTTCCTGGTTCCTTTAATAGTTCTATGCTACATCAAGAGGACATTGCTCCTTCAAATTCAGAAAGATCTATTCGCCCTTGTGTGCAGTGGATCCGTGTTTTGCACTTATGCTAATCAGTTGTGGTATAAGTACAAGCCAGGAGTCACTTTGCCCACCTACTTCACCTCGGGAGCCGCCGTCTCCAATGGTTGCAAGCATCAGGGCTGTCCCAAAGGTGCTAGCGGCGACGCGGGATTGTCCTGTCGCGTACCCAAGCATTTAGGGATGATGGCGATTGTTGCGTGTTTCTTTGCATTGTTCGCATCTCTCGGATTGGCTGCTTTCCTTGTTCCTCGGCAAGTTATGCCATGGACCGGATTACTTCTGACATACGAGTGGACATTCTTCACATTCCTCTTGCTGTTCGGAAAGTTTCTTGACTACATCTATTCTTTGGGAAGAAACACTGCCATAAAGTCGTTGAGTATTGCTGAAGAGATCAGCTTTTACAGCGCAGAAAAACTGCATTCAAAGAACTCCACCTATTGGGACGCCGAAACGAGCACATACGGTATTGTCGCTGCACTAACTGCTCTTCTAATCCCAACTCTACCTTGGATTTTTGGCACCACAGCCATTTTTGCTCGCGCTGGTCTGATGGTGTCAGGCGGTTTTGTCCTTGCCGTGGTGGGGACCTACTCCGCCGAGCAGCTTGCCGTTCACTGGTTCTTGAGGGGGCACGATGATTGTAGTCACATGGAAAGATCGTCTTGACATCTTTCCTATGTTCAGTGGTCTGAATGATACATAATGCACAATCTTTCGCTTGCTGGCAGACTTGTTCCATAGTTCAGACATAGGTTAGACAAATGTTTTGGCATTAGCTGGCCTGGACAGAATAGATGAAGTAGCAAACTTATATATATCCCTTGCATACTTTTCAATCTAGTGTTGTACATAACTTGTTGATTGTACTTTCGAGGTTGTGCTTCTGTCTAAACACTGTCATGTTTCTAATGTTAGAAAGTATCAGTTCCTTTTGAAATCTCTGGAATTCAACTCAATGCAAACTGGTGTCTGGGAAGGTAGCAGCCTTGCATTGGTTGTGAAGTGTAGAATTGGATGTCCTGATCTTGTCCTTAGATTTATGATGTCCTTTTCAGACTATTGATTATGCTAACCCCTAAAATTTCAAGTAGCCTTTTGTGTGGTTTTTTGGAATTGTTTTCCTTGAAGTTGTAACAAATAGGGAAAATTAATTAGAGATCTTATTGTATATTGTAGGAGTATCTCTTACTCAAGCATTAGTATGATATGACAATAGATTAATTGATCTAAATCACTTGTATAAAGTGAATATTTACATCTTTATTAGACTTTGTTGCCAAATTGATGTTCTATTGTATTAAACAACAATCCATGCAATAAACTTCATTGTTTGTGAATTGGTGATATAATTGTGTTCACAAGATAGAAATGAAGAATTGTTTTGGATAGATAATGCATAACATTCATTCGAATTTATTCATATTATTTTTGAAATAATATAAATGTTATTGAAATCATCTATTTTTGTAATAAATACTATATAAAGCATGTTAAGTAGAATAAAAGTCTACTTAAATTATTATTAGTTATGAAAGGAATATTGTGTTTTTAGTCTCAAAAATATAAACTAGTAGATTCAAATAGACATCATATTCCAAAATGACATTAAAATCTTTGAGATTGTGATGTTTACATTGTGTTAATTATAAAGATGCATTTATGTAATTAGACTATGTGATACTTGTTGTTATGTAAAAAATAATGCTATTTGTATTCACATTAAAAAAAATCAAAATCAAAATGTGGTTTTTTCAAAGATTGAAATGATTTTATATATAAAAAATCATTAATTTAGAAATAAATAAATAAATATATATATATATATATATATATATATAAGTGAAGATAATAGTTTTGCATCTTTAAGATGGCTTTAAATCACACTTATACATATTTATATTAATAAGAAGTGTTATGTAGAAGATAAATATAAGTAAATTTGATATTATCTTGTAGCAAAACTTCTTAGAAGCTTTATAGACACCTATATACCTTTATACATGTTTGTTGTTGATTGATAGGTTAGAAACTAGGCCAACAAGTTAGCCACATGTTGCATGTGTTAGTAGCTTGTGGTAACAGGTAACTATATAGCATCATATATGAAATTAGTCTTGTAAGTTAGATACATGTCTTATAAGTTGAATACATATTAAAGATTCTATAAAAAGCCATCATATAGCTCTTAGTTAAATAGTAAAGGCAAAAGTAAATCCTTCTTCACTCTTATCAATACCTTTCTAAGTCTTAGTCTAGTTTCAAGAGTATCTACTTTTCTTGTCTTTGGCAAAAGCCATTCTAATTCTAATACTATACTTGTCATAAACATACTCATGTAAGCTAGTAATTAGATATACAAATAGATAGAAGTAATAACAGTAAGTTAATTCTATAGTACTTAATATGGAAGTTTCTTAGAAGCTTCATAGACGCTGCTTTGACTTCATAGGTATCTTTAATTGACTTTTTGGATTAGAAACGTGGTCAACAAGTTGGCCATGTGCCACACATGTTGTTAGCTTGAAGATCAAGCTAACTATGTGGCCCAAAGTACAAAAACTTGCCTTGTAAGTCAAGGCATGTGTCCTACAAAGTCAACACATATTGGAGGTCCTATAGAACATCGCCATGTAGCTCTTAGTTAGATAGTATATATAGAGACAAGAGTGAAGCCTTCTTCAATCTTGTCAACTCCTTTTTTGCTTCTAGTCTAGTTTCAAGGGTCTCTAGTTTTCTTGTCTTTTGGCAATAGCCATTCCAATTTCTCTTTCAATATACATACTTATTTATTTATATTTTGTTACCTTTCTTTGAGTGAAGGCTCATTTATCTGGATTACTTTTTCATCGAGTTCTTGTCCTTGACAATACTACTTTAAGTGATATATTCTTCTTGAGTGACAAAAGAATATTTTAAGAATTTCATTGTTGAGTTTCGTATCTTTGATAATTTGATAAGAGTGCTAACTCATTTACTCTTATTTTGTTGTAGAAGTGAGTGGATTATTCTTCTCCTATTATTGTATTTTGAAGGTTGACGATTATCCACTTTTAAATTAATTTTTGATTTTTTTACACTAATTTTATCCTTAAAGAGAATGGACTACTTGTCTTTGTGGAAGTTTTTATTTGATATTAGAAGCTATGGATTACTCTCTTCTAATTTTATTTTTAGATTTATTTGAATTATTTATGAAAAAAAAATTATATTTGCTATTTTTGGAATGAAAAAGAATAAATTTATAACTATTACAATCTTCATAAGCTTGTTAATATTCTTAAGATGAATTTTTTTATGTATTTATAATGTCAAATATAGGGGTAGTCATCCAAAGCCTATGAAAGAAATTAATAATAAAATTTAAAATCTATATCAAAAATTTGTGTAATTGAAAGAAGTAAGTAGGTTCAATTCACAACTAAATCCAATAAGTCTTGCTATTACAAGTATGAATGAAGCAAAGATAAGTATGCCAAAAAAGTTCTATGGAATAAAATCAAAGTTTTGAAGATTTTTACAAGTAAAGTTCTATCTAAAGTTACATCCTATCTAATATCTTGATGTATTTATCCAAGTTGTATTTACAAATACATTTTTTTTTAAGTGTGCTCTCTCTTAGTTTATATTTCTGATAAAAAAAGATTCACATCTCTCTTATGATTTATATTCATTTTTAGTGGTATTTATAGCTATTTTTGGAAAAAATGATCAAAAAAAGATAGTAGAGACCAAATTTATATCTTTATTATCAAGAATGCATTCAACCACCATACATGTTGTTGAATTCCAAAACCTCACTTATGACATAGATTGGAATGATAAAGCTCTTATCAATCAATTTTTATATGAATTATAAGATAATATTAAAGATTTACTATTGATGATGTTTATTTTTTTATTAAAATAATTCATTACTCAAGCCATTGCATATAATAATCAATTCTTTGAAAGATGCTAAGAGCAAAGATTTAATTGAAGAGGTAGAAGTAAAGTCATAGCGTTAATTTCTAAGTTTTTAAAAACTTATTTATTAAGATTGGAACCTATGCAAATTGACATGGTTTCAAATCTTATATTGAGCAAAAAAATATTTGACTTGGTTAAAAATTATTATACTTATATTGTAGAGAACCTAAGCACACTACTCAACATTGCTCAAAGAAATAGTATAATTACAAAATGAGGAACATGGCTGCCAAAAAAGATGATGTGTTCGAAAACAAGTTTCTTTAGCTATAATAGAGAGAGTATAAATGAAAAATTATGCAATATTTAGTAAAGGTTCTATTCTCTCATCAAATTTGCTACCTTATTTTATAATAGAAGTTTATTTAGGACCAAAAAATTACAAAGTTTTTGCTTTGTTAGATTGAAGAGCCTGAACTTATTTTTATAGTTAGAGACTTTGTCAAAAAAATAAGATATATCTTTAATTAAAAAAATAAATTTATGCATGTAAAAATCAAAGAAAATTATTTGTTATTCTTTAGAAATGTTATTCATGAAATTATTCTGTTAAACGTTGTGGTGTTGTAACACGAGTATACCATGAAAATATAAAGAAAGTGGACTTTTATTAATGTTCAGTTACCTCGAATATTGGAAGTAACGACCAATTCCAGTGCAAATACTAAGAGGCCAAGTTCAGTCATTCCATTACAGTCAGCCGAGGCATACTAAAATGCTCCATTCGATTCCAATAACGGGAGTTAGCAGAAAGGAAAAGGACCAATTCAACGATGGGTGAGCCTCGTTCGAAGAGCCAATTGGATCCAATTTCAAGACATCCAATCCAGGTCCTATTATGGGCCTCTTATCTAATATGAGACCTGACTTGGTCGGGCAACCCAATGCGGTCCAATTACAGGAACATTCAAGTCTTACTACGGGCCTCTTAGCCAATATGAGACCTGAATTGGTCGGGCGACTCAATGTGGTCCCGATTACGGGGCTCCGATTCCGTTTCAAGCTGTTCCGTCTTTTGTGCCGTTCTGGGAACGTCCTTTCGATAAAAGGATCTCTTAAAGGTAAAAACGGAAGAGAAAGCTATGATGTCGGAGCTAATTCCGAATCTAAGACGGAAGATTGAAGAAATTCAGAGGCTAGGATTTGAAAGAGGAGAGAATTAGGGTTAAAGGGGAGGATAGGTTAAGAAATGGAAGAGGGGAGAGAATAAGGTTTTAGGGGTCGGACAGCTAGCTTCATGCTTTGGGAGGGGGGAAAAAAGACAGAGAATTGGGGTTTTTTTTCTTCATAGGATTTTGGAAAGACTGAGGCAATCGTTGCTGAAGTGAGTGTTGTACTAGTGAATTGGGATTTTTAATGAAGTGGGTGTGATTACTCTTGACTGTTTTGTGAAATCGAAGTTACGTCTGTGATTGAAGAATTAAAAGGGTGTCTATAGGATTGAGTATGCGGAGTGAATGAAATTTATTGGGTTAATCTAACAAGACAGTCAGTGGATACAAGGTCGTGAGTATAAAGCGGTATCGGAGATTAACAGATCGGGTTGTTCGGGGTTCTCAATAACGTCTAGAGACCTATCGGCTGGGGCAAAAAAGATTTCGGCGAGCAGTCGAAAGACATCCGTATAGATTTACGGTATATTTTTGCAGTCGTTTATATTCCAATAATCAAAAACCAATAGACTGCTTGAATATTAGCAAATCTCCATACTACCTTCTACAGCCAGATGCCTGGCACGTTCTCGAGCAGGAAAGCATGTAATACGACAACGTAGCAACTAAAGATTATAATAGCTTAGTAATATTTAATATCATTAAATCTCCTTCTAACCCTATCATTTAAAGAATATTGTGGTTAAAAAAATATAATCCTCAAACAAACTAGATTTTTCATAACCTTGATTTTTTCATTATTTAATCCAAAATTTTATTAGTTGAGTAAAAACCTATAAATCAAATATAACCAAACTTGTATTGTGAGGTGTAAGAACTTTCATGTATGTTGTAAAAGAAAATCATATTTTTTTTATATATATGTTACATCTATTTTTGATGGTGCAAAGTCTTTAAGCTATAATTTAAGCCAATATCAAGATTATTAGTACATTTTTGAGAAAAAAAATACAAATATTCTTCCAAAGTATTGTTCTTATGATTCTTCTGTTGATCTTTAAGAAGAATCTCAATTATCATTGGAAGCAATCTATAGCTTATCATAGAGTT